CAGGGCACTCCCAGCTATTGCATCTGCTCCAGCATGACCTTTGGAGAACTTGTGAAGTAATTCACCAGACTTCATCTCTCTGAATCCCCAAACCCAGCTGTGAGACTTCACCCTGTAGAGAAGCAGGGAGTTGGTTTTGGTGGCGTGTCCCCAGGGATAATGTTGTCACCCTAATTGGGAAATAGCCATGGCGTTTGTTAGAAGTTTTGGATCCAGTGGAATTCTTCCATGGCACACAGCAGGTGTCTGAGCTCCTCCAGGTCACAACCTTTCCATCTGGGGCACGAATCCCTTTCCCACCCACCCTACCCTTTACCTTCAAGATGCGGACCCTCACTAGCTTTCTGTAACAGAGTGAAAACACCCCACTCTGTCTCTCTAAGGGGCCTTATCAAGGCATTCATGTAAACATTGCTGCCCTGATAAATCATCACAAGAGCTTACGCTTCCAGGAGGGTTTTTAGTGGCAAGGATGGATTGACACAACCAAATCTAGAGGTGCAGTCTAGTGGAGACTGGTGGAATGAAACAGTATTTAATAACAGTGAAGAGCAAAGCTGGTGCGGGGATGTGAACTTGTAGTCCCAGCCACTTGGGAGACAGAGGCGGGAGGACGCTTGAACCCAAGAGGTTGGGGCCAGCTTGGACAAATTACAAGATCCAGCTCAAAACCTAACAATAATATTAATAACAGAGAAACAAAATTGCAGGCTGAGACTGGTCTATGTGACTGCTATACAAAAGAGGAAACCTCAGTTTAAGGCAAGGAAGAACTTTCTAGAGAAACAGAGTCCTGTGCACTTTCTGAAATTTCACTGGACGTTGAATGACAGCCTGTTCATACTCTTAGAAGGAAGTCCACAGAGAAAGCCTGGTCCAGAGATCTCAGAATCTCTTCCTTCTCCACCCAGAGGGCAGGAGCCTCTGTGATTGGTTGAGAGCAGGGAAACATTATGTAGATTTTTGATAGATCAAACCTAACTGGTCAGGACAGTGACTAAAAATGGATGCATTAAAGGATGATCCTACCAGCAGAAGTCATTCTGCTGCTCATTGTGTACATTGTAACTAATGGAACCTTTAAGGACCAACTTTCCAGAGTCACACACAAACATGTATTTGGCTCTGCAGGAACATGAGCATACTTGAAGCATTCATTCCTTTAGATCATAGAAGTATCAACTTCTGTCATAAAATTAGGGAAACAATTGATTTCACATCACCAAAAATATAAGGTCTAAGGGAAAGAATGTATACAAACTGTTGGGCTGGCTCTCTAGCATGTGTAATGATCGTAAGGGCTGATCTGCCCTGCAATGACAGCTGATTTTCTCAACAAGGTGTTTGTTGATTATGCACATCAAGTCAGAAGCGTCTCCATCCCAGATTTCCATCGGAGAACAACGCAGTCTGACTGGCTCTGTGGAGCCCACAACACTGACCGCAGCACCAAGCAGGCTTTGAGGGTTCCTGGACCAGCGTTGGTGCCGGTGTTCCCGGGGTGGGTCTGTGGGTACAATCAACCTACAAGGGAGTCACAACAAAACCCAGGACTCTTAAAGGCTTCCTTTGTGTATGAAAGTAAATAAAGCCTGAGTAAGTAGAGTAAAAGGAGCAAACAGAATTAGGTCAAGAGAGAATTTGAGTACAGATTTTTGCATGTGTGGCTAATTCAGTGGGTTCGTGTTCCCTCACAAGTTGTGCTGCTCTCCAGCTGGCTGGAAGACATAGAAAATCAGGGCCAAAACATTTGGTGAGTTTGCTAATGAAAGAAATTAAACAATAGCTGCCCTGGATTTCTGTGAGCAAAATTATCTCAGTTGAGCTCCAGAAAGAGAAGCAATTCTCATTCTGTTCCATCTTCTGAATCTGTAGCCCTAGGTCGAAGTCAACTCCAAAGCCCCAGGGCACTGCTCCTTCCCATCACCACTAGAGAGCAAGAGCAGCAACGTGTGAGGAGACAAATTCCTCCAAGTGACCTCTGAAGAGCAACCAACACAAAGGCACAGAAGGCACAAACTGCCCCAACACACCTGGGTAAGTGCCCATGTGCCCCCAACCCAGAACACAGACCAAAGAACCAGAAAGCTGGGATGCTTGAAGGCCCTGGGCTCAGTTCACTCTCATTAAATGATGTAATCTGATTGGGGGTCAGCACGTGATTTGTGCCCAGAAGCTAGTGCATGTTTAAATTTAAACAAGTGTTACACGAGACACACATTGCCATGAATCCACAAAAGTCCTCCCCATTGCTTCGCACATGCTTATGCCATCAGTCCAGTTGCTTTCTGGAGCAGTTCTGGAGGTCCTCCTTCGTGAGTGTCTAGTTGTGCTGTCTTGGCCACCTTCATCTCCTGAGTCAATCCAGAACATTTGCCTTCCATGGTCATTGTGACTTTGGGGAAGAACAAGAACTCACATGATACTGGATCCAGTGGATAAAGAGGACAAGGGACCCACTGTCACATTTTATGAGCCTGGTGGCAGCATTCACACCATTGGTATCACATCTTATGAAGATACACACAAAGGAGGACATCAGAAACTGCTTTGGAAAGTTACAAGGATGATGGGATAAGTGGGTTCAAAGTGAGGAAGGTGTTTTGAAATGGATTCCTGGTGATCTCTTTTACTGTTTTATATATATATATATATATATATATATATATATATATTCTTAAACACATTCCATACTGTTTGATAAGCCACAGACAGATACAGAGCAGAGGTCTCTACTCTGGGGACAGCCATGCAGGGCCCTCTTGTGCTGGTTCAGCCACAGCCTGCACGAAGGAAGCAGCAAAGCCATGGCTCCCATCCAGCTGCTCCTAGGCGTGAACTTGCAAGGCCATCTGGACATTCAGGTGCTCCAAACAGAAAAGATTTAAAATGATCTCCACCCACCTCCACTCTTCAGATTTCTATGCACCATAATTACCCAGAACAGAAAGGAGCCACAGAACTCACAGTGATGACTCAACATTTAGGATAAAATTATCTAAGCTGAAACCACAGAGCAGATGGCAACGTTTTGGTGACAGATTCTGTGACTGGGGCACGAGCTGACCCTCGGAACGTCAGCATTTTAACACAATGACTTCAAGTCTGTGGGGGCAGAATTCTCAGAGGATCCCGGAAATCCTGTCCTGTGACATTCATGTCCTGCACACCCCTTGCCTTGGGGAAGCAGACCTGTGACTAGAACGGGTAGGCTTTCTCAAGATGAGGTAGCTTCCTGCAACATTCCACTGAAGTGGACTAGAGACATCTTCTGATGGCTTTGAAGAGATAAGTGGCCATGCTGTGAGATGGCCAGGCAGTGGTGCTGGGACCTGCAGGTGGGCTTGTCACCGTCATCAACCCCAACTGACAGCATGTGGAAGACAGGACCTAGTTCCCCATAACCACAAGCAACTTAGTCTTCCATTCTGGAAGGGAACTCGGGGTACAGATGAAAACAATCTAGTGGACGCTTGCCTTGGAGAATGGTGCTGGAGGGACCAGTTAGGCCATGGACTCCTGACCTGAGGAACAGGGAGACCATGAGCAGTGGCCGTAAACTGCTGCATCTGTGATAACTTGTTACACAGCAGTGACACTTACAGGGGCCCCTGCTGAGGGGCTGAGTGCCCTGTTCCCAACTGTGCGACCTCAAGCCGGCCGCGCAGCCTCTGAGCTTCATCATTACTGCTTCTCCAGGGTGGACTGTAAACACATCTGCTCAATTGTTCTCATGTGTTTCAAGTGAGATGGAAAGATTTATTACTTGTGAAAATATTTTGAAACTTTTAGAGCACTGAGAAAGTAATGGTGGTATGAAATAAAATCTCGAGGTTTGTGGAAACCAAGGAACATTACAGATTGAAGGCAGAGCCCTAAATTGGGTTCCAAATGAGGCGGGAATCATGAGGACTTGTGCTCCCTGAGCTGCCCCCAGAGCAGGTGTTCAAGAAAGGTGAGGTGGAGACTGGGCTGGAGCAAACGAGGAACAGTTGTCTTTTTGAGCCCATTAAAGTGCCCAGGAAGACAAATCAGTCCATGCGGTAAGCCCCGAGCACTTGCCTGTCAGCGGGTACACAGGAAGTGTCCCAGGGAGGGGGGCTCACATCAGCTACTGAAAGACAATCGGAGGTAATCAAGTGAATGAGGAAAAGGCGGGGAAGCCAAGCCTCTACATGGGAACTGGAGACTTCAGAACAAGACCCGGACTTTAAAAATCTGAATATGCAAAATTGGAGTTGAGCATCTGGGAAAGGCCAGATCTTATAAGGCCTTACAGGCAGCACCGAAGAGGGAAACGGGTCCTGGGCGGCTTCTCAACAGCTTGGCACAGTAGAAAGTTCACAGAGGAAGCAGTGTGGTTCGCTGATTGGCAAGAGCAGAGAATCAACTTAAAGGCAATTTGAGTAATCAATCCAAGAAAAAAAGAAAGGCACAATCAGTGTGGGGCAAAGAAGGGCGAATTTAAACACAAGCAGGAAAGTCAGAAAGCAGAATTTGGTGGGCCAGATTTAATCTGGGAGAGAGGTGCTGGTTGGATCCAAGAGTCCTTTGTAAGCACCTGGATTACTGCAACACCAGTGACCAGGGCAGCTCTCGTCCTGACAGGCGAGAGCAGATTTAAGTAAAGACAGGAATTTCCCAAAACCGATCAGAGGTAGGAGACAGGAATTGCTAATCAAGCAGGTGATTTATGTCCTAGACTCACTGAGGCAAGTATTGCCCAGGGATTTTTCTTGACTAACAGAAGAATGGTTTGAGCAGTCAAAGTCCTGTCATCTGGGCAGGGAAGAAGGTGTCTCCAGATGCCTGGAGTGGCCAGGCACATAGCAAGGCGAGGCATGCAGGCAGTTCGTAGTGGGTAGACCCTCCATGCTACCAGCTACAGCAAGCTTCAGAAAGCAGAAGCAGGCACTGACGACTGCCGCTCATCGTCCTGGGAGTTGAAGGTAACTGTGGTTTAGCTTAGCATAAAAGAGACGATGATAATATACAGTGAGTGTTTCAACTTAAAGAATTTTATTATAATAAATGACAAATTGCTATTAATCTCCCTCAAAATAGTCCCCTCCCTTTGAACACACAACGAGTGCTTTGCAGGAATATACATTCACAGCGTTTTCTGACCACTCTTAGTGTGTATTTGCACACTTTTCAAAGGAATTATAAAACATCCCAAATAACAAAAGGAATTTCAGTCCTTAGCTCCTGCAGGGGAGGAACGAGGGTATCCAGAGTTCAGAAGGTCATCAGCATTTTGTTCTATTCCATTTTTATGACCACGTCACTCAAAATGATGTCTTACGTTAGTCTTGCTTTTATGCTGAGTTTTGCCTGAGAATAATAAATACACACCACTCTTAGTGTAAACATCCTGTGAAAGGCACTGAGAATGTGGAATTCATGTCTATCCTGCGTGAGAGCTTGTGTTCACCATATCCACCACCCATTTAAACCTCACCTCCAGATGGCCCCCGCTAGGGAGTCCTGGTTCATTATTATTGTTACCGGTCTTTCTCTAAAGACCAGTGCTAACCAGAATCACTTCTCTATGCTGTCATGGAGTTATTTATCTGTTGTCATTCTTACTTGTTCAACTGGATATTTATGTTTTACCAAGTGGCCCCTAAACACCCGATAAGGTCCTATCATCATGGCTAATCCATGATTCTGTTTATAATTATTCGAGCAACAAGCAAACAGATGGAATAGCCACAGGAGATGTTTCTGCTTTTATCCCTTGGACACTGATAGTTGCCTTCTTTTCCCTTTCTTCCATTAGAGGGCAGGGAAGGTGACACAGCAGCGGAAATCTTGGAGTTGGAATAGCAGTTTCAGTTCCCACAAGGGCGCTTGGCAAAAGGTGAAGGTCGGACCAGAGTCAGAGAGAAGAGGTACCCGGGTATCACAGGACAGCGGAGAGGTGCTGCAGCCCTTCCAACAGGAAAGCTAACTGGCAAGGCTGCACACAGGAGATGGAGTGGGTTGGTGGGTCCCTAGGACTCAGATGGGAGGAGATGGGGGCTGGAATCAGAGTGCACACACAATTCCAGTGCAGTGTCTCCTGCAGCTCCTGTCCTACCTGGTCCCCAGCTTATTTTCACCAGTGGAATTAGCCCAGGAATAGCACAGGAAGCTCAACCCTCCTCTGCTACTCAGAACCGTGTGACTAAGAGTAACCAGGATTTTCTTTTGGCACAGGCAGTGGAGAAACACAGGCTGTGGTCTTCGCAAAAGCTTCTCTGTGACTTCTGTCGCTCTGCCATAAACCTGTTTGAAAGTCAGTACAGCTACCGGCAGGAAGGCACTTGCTCCCCAGGTCACTATCTGGTTTTACCTTCCATTGGGGTTTTTGCATCATTTATTCCATGTGCTAATTTACCACCAAAGTTTGGCCCAGAAGATTTCTTCAGCATTCAGAAGAGTGAGTTTGGGTGGCAGGAGCGGGCTTAGTTAATCTGTGGATGCTCCAATGATAAGATGCGTAGGTGGTTTGACTATTTCCCTGCTGGAGGCATGGCCAATGTGTAATCAGGCATTCCCCTCCCCCCTCCTTGTAATCCCCAAATGTAAGAACTTGCCAGCTGTGCTGGTACAGCCTCCTAGAATTCAGGACCTTCTCTTTTTCCAAGATGCTGTTTTTCATAACTTTGCAAACTGAACACAATCTGGTTTCTGGTTCAGCAGGTGCCCTGGGCACCTCTTGTCCACTGCAAGAGGCAAGGGACAAGTGGGGTTTACAGAACTCTGCCTAATGTGATGACTCAGGGCTGCACAGTCCACAACATAAACTTTATATGAAGCAGGAGGTTTATGTTTCAAACACAAAGCAGCGTTCAAAGAGCATGTGATCATCCAGCCACCTCCTCACTCCCAAGGGAACAGTTAAAAATATACAGGGAAGGAACAAAGATCCTTTGCACGATTGTTCTCCTTTGGAGTCCTCCTTCTTCCTTTGTGTTGGGAGGAAGGGAGCCTGGATGGTCACTTCACCACCCTGCCCACATGAGGCTAGGAAATCCCCTCTTTTGATCTGGGAATGATTGGAAGTCCTCTTTGGGAGGCTGTGTTGGGACAGAAAAGCTATTATCTCAGATGAGATAATGAATGAGAAAATGCTCTGTGAACCATAAAAGCTTAGCTGTTGGTGATTGTTTTATTATTGTTAGAAATTAATTTGTTAGTATTGTTATTTCTACTAAAAAAGTGAGTCACAGGGTTCCAGTTCAGGCTCCAAAGCCTCAGAGAGGTACGGTAGGAGAGGCAGAGAAAAAAACAGGCAAGAGATATCTCAGCAGCAGTTAACGCTCCAGGAAGAGCGGACATGTGCATGTTCACAAGAGCCGCCAGGACTTCAGCTGATCAAGTGGCCTCGTGCCCACATGGTCAAAGGGTCTTTAGCTCCCGAAAGCCCCAGGAGCCCACCATGAAGACATCGCCCCACACCTAACAAAATGGCTCCAGGGCCTGGCCAGCTTCCCCTCTCCTTCCTCCACTCTCCTCTCCTGAACATTTCCCAACTTCTAACTGAGAGTCACCCAAAAAGAGCAGAAAGATTATGATTCAAGTGAAAATCTGAGTAAGCAAACGTACTTGGCACGAGGAGCCACGGAAAGTTGCACTGCAGCCAGAGGTGGTTACCCAATTCTGCCATAATTCCACACAGACTGCTCCGCAGCAAGCCACGGTGGGTCCACATGGGTGTAATGGGAAGCACTCTCGCATTTTTACTTGTGAGTGTTTTTCAATAAATAAGTCCATTTAAGCTCCCTGAAGCTGACTGCCAACTACTTTCTCCACCAGAACCTTAAAAAGAAAGGAATAAAAAAAAGAATAATTTATAACGATCAAAGATAAACTAAAATATTAGTCTGGAAGAAATACAGTTTCAGGTTTAGAAGTTGGTTTTATGAGGCAGATAATCCTCTCCTCCTTTTTTCCAGACCTATAAATGCAATTTTCATTTTATTTTTGCCCCAGCTCTGGGGTTGCCACAAAGTCGGAACAGAAGGGCCGGTTATTTGCTTTCTTTTCCGGGGGTGCTCGGCAGTGACACTATGCAGATCCACCGCATGCTGTCTGGGAGCTCAGTGTGGGAACACCCTGACAGATGCTGCGTCGCAGTGGGGCTGATCTTCTGCTTGGCTGGAGAACGGAGACCCAGGCCTCTGTCTGGGCACAGTCTGTGAGTTTGGTCTGTGTCCACCACCGTGAGTCTTAGGCTCATTGCCAATGATTAACATGACAGATAGGATCATGGTTGAACCTCAAGGAAAGATTCATTTATTTAAAAAGCACCAATTAGAATATCAAAGGACATCAAGACAGTCTTATCCAAGTCCAAGGCTCTTCTGAAATACATCCAATACAAAACAATAAATCTGGCTTGAAACATTTCTTCAAGTCTCTTCTTTGCACTTCACAATGTCCAGTAAGTTATTATTCCAGAATATTCTGGAATATTCCAAAACAGGAAGCTCAAGGGTTCAACTTCACTTGATCATTCCCCCTCATCACAAGAACCAATATATGAGAATTTTCAATTTTAATATTGGGTCACAGTTTTTAATTCCTGGCAACAGCTCTTGGTAACTATGTATGGTTACATTGCTTTGAAGATTAACCCTGTTGACTAGAAAACTGTAAATGAGAAAACAGTGCTGCTCACTAAGCACTAAAATTTTCAAATATGGATGTGACCGAGAAGTAGACACAGGAAAATAAGTAGGCAATCTTTTACCCTAGATTATGTCACAGTCTTTCTGTGCTGCTGGGCAGAACATCCAGGGAGAAAAGTGCAAATGGATGTTCAAAATAATTAAAATATTCACCAAAGGTCTTGTTCCATTGTGGGAAATGCAAACATGAACTGAAAATTCATCTTCCTCATTCAGTTTGGAAGCAATATATTCTTCAAAAATCTTGAGACAACAGAGACATAGTAAGAAAACAACCAGGGAAATGTACTATTTCTTCTTTTATTAGTGTATGTTCACACACCTCCGGCAGAGGTGGTACACAGATACAGCACAGCTTGGTTCCCTTCTCACTCCCTTCCCCTCCCCTTCTTCCATCTCCTGATCTCCTTCCCATTTGAGAAAGATCTCTACTTCCAATTATCTATCTTTTATTGTGTCCTTTATTTATGATTTGGGTTTCTTGTGGAAGAGAAACCTAGTGATATTTAATTTTGTGTGTCAGATTTACATACACCCTGAGTGACAGGGGCAGATTTGACTTTTACATACTGTAAGGTGTTTTAAGTGATTTGTAATTAACCAGCCCAGGTTTGGGACCCACCTCCAGTTCCTGACTAGCTGTGTGACACAGGATAAGGTACGTAACATCTCTGGGCTTTTTTTTTATTAGTGTATGTAAAATGAGCATAATTATGACTCTTGTCCCACTGACTGGTTAGATAAAATGAATTCATATCTATAAAGCAAAGAAATAGAGAGCACACAGTGATCACCCAATTGTCTCCAGCTGATGTCACCACTGTCCTCGGACCTGCCTCCTGTGGGGTTTTGTTTTTCTGCAGCCATAATTAGATCCCGTTCTCACTTAAAAGTAGCAAGGAGCATAACTGTGAGACACTTGCTCAGAACAGCCAAGAAAATACTGACTGAGGTCCAATCACCTGATTTGGAGCCAGAAAGACCCGTTCTTCCGGAGTTGTAAAGGGAGGTAGAGAACAGGTGTGTTGTAAAAGAAATATATTTGGTCTTTGTCCCGTGTTGCCTGCAGAGCTTCTAACTCTCTCAGAACCTCCTTGGTGACAGGAGTATCCTCTGACACGCACAAGGAGTCCCCACCTTGCAACCCCTGGCTTTTTCCAGTTGGCCACTGTATACTTTATACTTTATAATACTCGTATTGATAAACTGGTAAATGTAAATATTTCCCTGGCTTTGACTCTAGCGGATGACAGAGCCCGACAAGAAGGTTGCAAGAGGCCTCCGTTTGCCCTGGTGCATCAGGATGACTCAGGTCCTTCGCCCCTGGCCTTGCCATGAGCACCGGAGCTGGGCTACTCTCGGGGCACAGAGGCTTTCTGCTTATCTCTGCGCTGATCGCACAGGTAGTGTTGAAATGGAATTGTGAGGCACCAGGTCGGTGTCCAGAGAGGTAGGAGAATTGCCTAGTACAGAAATAAAAAAACAAGCATGCCAGGCCAAACGTGCCATGAGCAGGGAAGTAGTTTACGCAGAGGGCAGTGCAATGTTCTCACTGTCTGTGTTGTTTCTGGCCTTCTTCTGTGTCTGTAAACAGATAAGTTTCCAAAGACAGAGCGTAACATCACGGCCCAGGGTACCAAGAGCAAATCACTGGAGCCTTCAACTCCCACCACCGATTCCCAATAAATACTGTCGAGGCTCTTCACTGGTTTGTCCCCTCTGTGAACAACGGCACAAGTGGGCACGAGTGGAGTGCCATCACCACAGGGCACCTGAGCCCTGCTAAGAACGGAGTCAGCAGTGAGGAGACTTTCTCCCTGATGGAAACCCACGCCGCCAGATGACTGTGAGACCAGCCCATCCAAGTTAGAATGGTTAACCACACCAGCAAGGGAGGATTCTAGAAGGGGTAGCAGAAGCACGTTCCAGGCGTGGGCTTTTGAGGCAAATGGATCTGGCGTTAAACCTTGGGCTGGGCTCTGTTTATGAACTTTGTGATCTTGAGAAAGCTGGTCAGCATTTCCTAGTCTGTTTCCCACCTCCTACACCGACCGTTCGTGCAGGTTTCTGACCCAACCCAAGAGTGTACTTACCTCGGTTCCCGGTACAAGCTCCCAACCCCACTCAAGGGGCTTAAACTCAAGGGACGTAAACTTTATGATCACGCCAGTCTTCTGTTAAAAAAATAATAATAATAATAATAATAATAATGACCTCTCAAAGTGGCTCTGAAGGTTAATCAAAATGCATCCTCATTGCTACCACCATGCCTTGTGCACAGAAAACGTTCATAAAAACCAGTTTTCTCTTTGCTCCAGATCTGCATTGTCTAACACAGAACCATTGACCCTTCTTAGCTACTGATCACCTAGACTATGGCTAATGCAAACTGAGGCTCACAGTAAGTGCAAAGCATAGCAGATTTTGAAGATTTAGCAAGACAACTGAAGATAATTTTTATTGATAATTTATACATTAATCACATGTCCAAATAATGTCATTTCAGTTCAAGGAAATACATTCTTAAAATCAACTTGTGCCACTTAATCTTGACTGTCAACTTGACTAGTTTAAGAGACTCCTGGGAGGCAATCAGATAGGGAGGGCTGCTAACTTTGCTAAAGGGTTAGCCCACTGGTAAGTCCATATTGGAGCCGAAGATTAAGAAGTCTGGCCTTGGTGGAGAAAGTGGATTATGGGGCATGCCCTGGGGACAGTCCCTGCCTCTCTTCCCCTGCTCTCTGCTTCCTAGATTTCCATGGGGATGAACAGTTAGGAGCCGTGGACTGACACCTCTGAAAACTGACCTAAGGAAATCTTTTTCTCCTTTAAATTGTGTATATCAGGCAGTTTGGTCACAGCAGTGATGAACTAATACACAATTTCACCAGTTTCTTTCTTACTTTTCACTAGCATGGCTAGTTTAAATTTTAGGATTAGAAGGCAAACTCAGTGGGAAAGTATGTGGCCATCATGACTCAGGCTCTGGGTTCCGTCTCTAGCACCAAGAGATTAAAACAAATTAAAAGTGCAAAGTTACACACGTGGCTTGTTTTGTTGTCTACAGGGCAACGGGCTGTGGATGTCTGTTCACACCTTGTCCCACCACCAGCACGCCACAAGTTCTTTCTCACAAAACTCAACGCAAAAGCTGAGAAAAGGTTCCTAATAGTCAATACATATTTTAAATTTTTCCTGGCTATTTGGAGGGAAAAGGGCAATAAACAAGGAGCAAAGTAGAAGCAATCGTGGCCATGGCTCTCAGGAGTGGTTTCTTCTCGGGAACAGTAACCCCGACCCAGAGCACACCAGGAAAACGGGAAGTATCTGGGCCAGCCCTGGAAAATGTCCACAATGGCAAGGAAAGAGGAGCTTGGTTTGCCAGAAAAGATATTGCACTTTCTCCCTTGATCAGATTTGCTAACTCCAATGAAGGATTGTGAAACACCACAGGTCTCAAGGCAAGAGACATGAAGAAATGGGTCCTTCACCAGGTCACTCAGAGCGTGGCACTCATGGCTGCCCCAACATACAGAACAAACAGAATAAAGAGCTACAGAATCCAGAGCAAATTCACTCCCACACAACAATTTAATTAATGCCCACGCCAATCCCATATAGCTATTTATATATAGTCGTTCAGTTAATACTAGTAAATTGGATTTTTTACAATATTTTTAATCAAATAACCTACTTTGAAAATCTTTTAAGACATGCAACATCTTGAAAACTTTTTGTCTAGAGCAACCCCATTGGCTAAGGTGGCTCCGACGTCTCATGGAGAGACACCTGTCAACCTGTCATGGCGTTGGAAAGAAGCTGGCTTCTCAGCACCCCCAGAGTGTGGCCAGTGTAGTGATGGTGGCTTTAGCACTGTGCAGATGTGAGCGTCTTTTCTGAGAAGGGTGCCCTCTTTCCTGACATGCTGCAGGTTGGAAGGACCGGACGACTCCCTATGTGTGGGATAAATCTAAATTCAAAGTGTCCTAAGGGATGCATGGTGTCTGAGCCCCACCAACTCACCAGCTAACTCCTCCAGCCAACCCACCATGAAATAAACCCCTTGCTTTGCTGAGGAGCCAAGGCCCTGGGGAAGCAATGGTTTGGACCCACAGCATCTGAGGAGGTCCGCTGCATCTCTCGCTCTCCAGTGCAATGGCCTGGGAAATCGCTGCTGCTGAAGGGTGCCTGGAGGGAGCCCTGGCTGCCGTCTCACCCCGGCTGTGCCTGGACCCATCTGTCTTCGCTTGTGGCTGGGGAGGGAGAGAATGGAGTTGACAGAGCTGTCAGAACGCCTCTCTTCCTTTTATCTCTTCCCTGCTTCCCAACTCCTTGTTCTCACCTTCCTGCCTGCAGCGGTGCTGACAAAGACACTCGCAGCCCTGAACACCAGTGGTGAGTCATGGTGCGCCCTGAAGCCTGGTGTGCGGGTGTGTGTGCCTGTGTGTGTGCGTGTGAGCACGAGCGTGTGAGCAACCATGCATATGTGTGGCAGGAATCTGCTTAGACTGCTGGAACAAGAGCAGGGCCCTGTGGTGTGGACCCCAGCACATTCAGAGAGCGCTGATACCCATCCTCTTACCGAATCCCCACTCCCCCATACACAGCCCTTCGGAATGCAGTGTGCAAACAGATTTGGTTCCTGCCCGCGGGCTTTTCAAGCCACTGACCACTTTGAACCTAATTCGCAAAAGCAGAGGACACTGAAGACATTTAATAAATGCATCGCCTTGCTGCTTCATCTTCATGACCTGGGATTTATAAGGGAACTTCACTGGCTTTGTAGCGATGTAAAATAAATAGACATTAGATGATGACAGGGAAAACAAAATTGCTGCCAAAGCTAAAAAGAGCTTGGCAGGAGAAGAAAGCGCGGCTGCGTAGCCAGTCATTATTTACTGTCCAAAGCTTCCCATAAAGCATAGCAGAGAGATACATAGAATAATGGGCCCTTGCCCAGGGAAGAAAAGGGCTCTCTGTAGCTTGCCTTCCCCTTGATGAAGGCACAGTTGGGTCCTGGGGCTCGCACAATCTTATTGTGCAACTCAGCCATTCAGAAACCACAGGAACAGCCCTGCCCTGGTCCGAGGAAAAGTGCAAAGCTAGCAGGTGGAAATAACTAATTCCTCTGTTCATCTGTACAGCAGGCCAGGTTACCTCTCAGCCTGCAATGCTAACATGTAAATAAGTGCCACTGTCTAGCACACTGGCTCCTGACAACAAAAACTCCAGTGTTGTTTACTTGATTTAAAAAGAGGAAGGCTCGGATTGCTGCAAATGGTGGGCGCTGAACCACCGGTAAACCCCCAAGATCCAAAAGACTCCATTTCTTCACATTTTAGACAGCTGGTTTTGTTCTACATTATACAACCCCATCACTACCCCCGGAGAGCTAGGGTCATGCCACTCTTTATAAAGTGTGTAAGAGCTGGGCGTGGATGTAGGAAACTGAGGCTGGGGCTCCAACGCTTGAGCCCAGCCTGCGAAATTTTACAGTATGAGAGACCCTGGCTCAAAATAAAAACATAAAATAAAAGAGGGCTGGCCATGTAGCTTAGTTCTCAGGCCCTGGGAACCAGAAAGGAACAGAGAGACACAGACAACAGAGGTAGAGAGACAGAGAGAAGGAGGAGGAGAAGAATGGAATGGAATGGAATGGAATGGAATGGAATGGAATGGAATGGAATGGAATGGAATGGAAAGGAAAGGAAAGGAAAGGAAAGGAAAAAGGAAAGAGAGAGAGAGGTATGGAGGAAGAAGAGGGAAGGAAAAAGAAAAAAGAGACAGACAAAGTCAGTTATGGAAGAGATCAGAGGCACCCACCGAACACGTCTGTTGATCGAGCGCTTCCCCAAGATCTTGATTAAACAGGATAAGAAAGGAGTGAGGGGCCAGAAGGGTTCGGGGGTCACCAGAGACGCTGCCAACTGAAGAAAGATGCCCGTCCTCAAACAGTGGCTTTCTGTCTATTGCAACATTATCATCGTATGTTGCTGTCTGCTAGAAAAACATCATCACAAATGTAAAGATCGTCACCATCTGCGACATGACCAGAGCCCCGAAGCCTGGCAAGTTTGTGTGGTTTGTGACCTTCCTGGCCACGCAGGACAGCCCCAAGATGTTTAGCTCTTCCCACCCTTTATGCCTTTGTTTTGCATTACTATAGTTGCCTTAGGATTTATAAATTACTACTTTCAATTTGTAAAACACCAAATAGAGATATTGGGGGGAAAAATCACTGGGCTCCAATATAATTTCAATAGCAATAATAAACAAAAGCCCACAGAACAGATTTATAAGTGCCTGAATATAAACAGAGGCTCGGGGGCTGTAATTTCTAGCTTGTTCATCTAAATATTTATCATGCAGCTTGGCCCTCATCACTTAACCCCTGCGTTCCTCCTTGCATCATTATAAATTTTATAATCATATTTTTGTAAAAGTATTTGTACCTCGCTAATAGATAAAATGGCTAATCTCCAATCCGTAACTTATGAACAAAATAAGTCTGCCTTTTGTAGATGAACCTCACAATTTTTAAATTAGGATATTTTCATTGCTTTTAATATATAAGCATCATGTCAAATTATAAGTGGGTGTTGAGGCTCTGATCCGCCCAAATAGTTTTCTCTACTCCTTCTTGTGTTATCCAACATCACCTCCAATATTTTAAATAAATATTAAAAGCATCTTAGTATTTGAAACCAGCCAGATGTCTACTCTTAGGAGATTTCTTAATAAGACAGTCAGTCCTATACTGCAATACTTGAAAGTCACTGAGAAAATGAAGCAAACGTGCAAGTTGTTTAGGGGAGAAAGATGCTTAATCCCCATATGCATACTGTGCTCATGAGAGCAGATGATGACGCTGGATGGAAAGATCAATATTCGCATTTATTTATAGAGTAAAACTTGAATGACACACAACACGACGTCTCTGCAGTGATTCATGGATGGCTTAAGCAGGGTGGTTGCCTTTTTCCTATTTATAAATTTCTGGGTTTGCTGAACTTTATAGAACAATCACAAATTGTGTCTGTTCAGGATTTCTACTGGAAAGATTGTGCGGGGCAAACCTCTACCTCCCACAGACAGGTGTCTGGGAAGAGAAAGCCAAACAACCCAGACAACAGTCAGCATTTACCGCATGGCATCACAGTGTTCCTGCTGATGG